CTCAGCTGGTCATCTGCTCCTGAAGCCCTAGGGTCCATCCCCAGCTGCTCATAAGATGGCTGCAGGGGCGCATGCCTGCCATTCCAGCGCATAGGAAGTAGAGGCAGGAGGATCCCCAGGTTCAGGGTCGTCCTCAGCTGCACAGTAAATTCCAGGCCAGCCTGGGCTACATCAGAGCCTGTTTCAAAATGAAACAAAAACGGGTCTGCTGATCCCCATCTTCTTAAGGCGGCTGAGAGAGGTAGAAACGTGAACCCAGAAGGCCGGATGCTCATCTGCAAACCTAAACATCCCACAGCGCTGGGCTGGAGAAGCCCTCATTCCACCCATGCTGGGCCCCGCTTCAGCCCTGTCTCTCCACAGTGGCCTCAGGCCAGAGGGCGGCGATAACTGACAGTTTATCCACAGTTCGCCCTGGCCACAGAATGCTTCCAGCTGGGGTATGCCGCCGATGGCCACTGCAAGGGACAGCCTGACCCTGCTCTGCCACAGCCCCAGCGCCTGCAGTGGGACCTTCCAGAACAGGTGAGGCTGGACTCTGGTCTCCCCTCTAAGTCCCTCGCACCCTGAATGCATGCCCACCTCCCTGTCTCCACTTTGCTGTCAAAGCACACGCCCGCGCCTCGAGCCCCACGCTATCCCCAACCCTAACCTCACCCCCAAGCTTTCGCTCTGACCCCCCCCTCCCCCCCCCGCCTCTTACTTGCTTCTCTTCTCCACCTGCACTTCTCTCCCATTGTGCCTGGTCCCTTCAAACCCGTTCAGGCTCAGTTGGCCTGCCCTTGAGGACCCCAGTCCGTCTCGGGTGCTCTTGTTCTATCTAAGCTGCTCCCCGTCTTTACTCTCTGGCCCACCCCACCTGAGCACATCTCCGGCTTCCCTTCCAGACCCATGCCCAGCTCTACCTCAGCCCTGACTGTAGATTCCTCTTGCACCTTCTCTGGCAGATCCACCCGTCCATCTCTCTGGCCCTGAGGGGAGCCAAGGCCTTATCTGGGAATATCGACTGCCACGTCTTCCCCTTTTCCCACTTCGGCAAGAGCTTCATCAAGCGTTGTCATGTCTCTTCCGATAGTTTCATCCAACTAGTCTTGCAGCTGGCTCACTTCCGGGTCAGTGGGTACCCACAGCGCCTCCCTTCTCCGGGCTCCAGCCCTCCCTGCCGCCAAGCCTGCCTCCTGTTTGTGTCTTGATTTTGTCGTTGTGGGTTTCCTGTTCATCCATCTTATGGGCCATTCGTTGTGCTTTGGATCAACCCTATAAGGGGTAGGAGGTTGGCTTCACACTCAGACCCACCTGCCTCTACCTTCCCAGCGCTAGAATTAGAGGCATGATGCGCTCCCGTGCCGTAGGGCCAGTCATTTGTTGTATCGAGCATCTTGTTTTAAATCAGCCCTCTTGTGGATCATTCATCCTGGGTGGATCAGCCATTTTATTGTAGGTCTGCTATCTTGATTCCTCTACATGTTTTTGAGCAGAGGGAGGTTGGCTGGAGGTCAGGGCAAAGGTGGATCAAAGCTGTGAAGGCATCTGAGGCCAGCTGACAGCTTCTTCTCTTCCCCAGGACAGGGGTCAGTTTTGCCTGACTTATGAGTCAGCCATGACGCGACTCTTCCTGGAAGGCAGGACGGAGACGGTGAGGTGTTGCACTAGAGAGGCCTGCCACTTTGTGAGAGCCATGGAGGACAAGGAGAAGACAGTGAGTGTGGCGTCCGCCATGTGTGCTCACATTTGCAGATAGCTGTGGGAGGGGCATCCACAACCAGGGACTAATCTGCTCTGTCAGAGCCTTCCAAAGCCCGAAGGAGGGGATAGGACAGTGCAGCTGGGCTTGAATGGGTGGTGCACAGTTCCAGGGGAACATTTGGCGGACAGCCCTGTTCCCACTCTCTTGCTCTTACTTTAGCCACACTGGGAAGTCATGTGACCGTGACCTCTATCTTTACCTCTAGCTTCTCTCTACCTGTCACAAACCCAGCTCCCTCAGCCATGAGATGCTGAGGCTCACTGGAGGGCCCGAGGGTCCTAAAGTCAGGCGCATATTATTATACGTGGCTGTGTGACCCTGGGCAGGTGACTTCCACTCCTGGACCCCTTTCCTCTCTCTCTGTAAGGCGGGATAGCTATCCCTGGCTTGAGGCCCAGCACGGTCCAGGTCACCAAAGTAAGCCCACGCCCTGTCTTTCCATGACCTCTGACTGCCCTGGGGGACCCAGGACCAACAGTGCCTTGCCCTGTTCCGTGTGGCCGTGGACAAGCACCAGGCTCTGCTGAAGGCAGCGATGAGTGGGCAGGGGGTCGACCGGCACCTCTTTGCACTTTACATCGCGTCCAGATTCCTCCATGTGCAGTCACCCTTCCTGACCCAGGTCAGGGCCCCGCCCAGGCAAGGGGTTAGGAGTGGACATTGCAGGGCAAGGGAGGGAGTCACAGCAAGGCGGGTGATGTTGCAAGAGTGTATAGACAGCCAAGCCGGAGAGGGGCTGAGGGGAGAGCATCAGTCCAGGCCGTCCCCCCTCCCCCCGGCGGGGCTGGGGTGTGGCTCAGTGGTACAGCCTCTGCCTAGCAGCTAGAGGTCACGGGTCAATCTCCGGCACTATAAAGGAGAGGGAGGGAGGGAGGAGAAAGCGCAGTAGAAAAGGGCAGGGTGGGGGTCAGGGAGAAGGGGCGTGGTTGGGGAAGGGGTGTGGTCAGAGCACAGCGACTGGAGGAGGTCTGGCTTGCAGCGGAGCAAAGGGGGTCCTGTCTGCTCATGTGGCCACCGTTTTCCTCAGGTCCAGTCGCAGCAGTGGCCGCTGTCCACCAGCCACATCCCCGTGCAGCACACGCACCTGTTTGATGTCCACAATTACCCAGATTATGTGTCCTCCGGAGGTGGATTTGGGCCTGTGAGTGGAACGTGACCCAGCCACTGGGCAGCCAGGACCAAAGGGTTAGGGTTCCTGCCCTGGGTGTGGAAGAGGGGCTGGGCTACTGGCTTGCTTCTCTCTCGCCACTGCAGGCCAGCGACCACGGGTACGGCATCTCCTATATCTTCATGGGGGAAAACATGATCACCTTCCACGTCTCCAGCAAGAAATCCAGCACAGAAACAGTGAGATGAATGTGTGCCTTCCTCAACCCTCCCTAAATCTGGGATTGAGCCATTCAGGCCCCGGGGTCCCTGGTCTAGCCTCCTCTCTCAGACCTCAACGTCAAGGCTCTAGCCTCCACCATCAGATACAGGGGTCTAGGCCCCAGCCTTCTCTCTCAAGACTCGGTGGCCCGTGCTTGAGCCACCTACTTCAGCTCTCCTGGTCCTTGTCTGCTTCTCTGCAGGACTCGCACCGGCTGGGGCAGCACATTGAGGATGCACTATTGGATGTAGCCTCCCTGTTCCAGGCTGGGCAGCATCTCAAGTGCCGGTTCAGGGGACTTGGGGAGAACTCAGGATATAGGCGTGGCTCTCTCTCCAGTAAGACTGTGGACCCCAAGGTCCCCACAACCTCCACCAACTTATGAGCCCCTCAGTAGGGAGCTGGTCTCCCCCAGGAAGGAGTGCTCTGTTCCCAGGGCTACGCTGGCACAGACGGGTACAGGGGGTCCCCACACCACCTGGTAATAAAGATACTTGAGTTGGGTGTGGCATCCACTGTGCTCTTGTGCAGGGGTGGGGGAGAATTGGGCACCTCTTCCTTCCCGACTTGCATCCCTAGTTGTGCTCACCTTAACCGTGCCTACCCCGTCACCCCAGCAGGTCCACTCCAGACTCGCTGGCCAGAGTAGCTCAATCAGCTCTTGACAGTGCGAGCCCAGCTCCTGCCACCTAGCCCCAAAGGTCTGGCAGAACAGCTCCAAATAAGGTCTGAGGAGCAGTTCCCTTCTGTAGGGAGAAGGGATTGAGACAGGATGTCACGGAGGAGCCCAGGCAGGCTACTCTGGAGCTTACTGTGTAGCGGAGGGTGAGCGTCAACTCTTGGTCCAGCTGTGGCTGCCTCCCTGATGCTGAGATGGCAAGTATGGTGTCACTGTGTCCCACTATTGAAAATCAAGCAGGGCCCAGGGTCATGGGGGATACTCACACCTTTAATCCCAGCTCTCAGGAGCAGAGGCCTAGGATCTCTGCGAGTTGGAGCGCAGCCAGTCTACAGAGTGACTTCCAGGACAGCCAGAGCTACACAGAGAAACAATGTCTCAAAACAAAGCAAAACCAAACCAAAAATGGGAAGCTGGCTTTACTCTTAACCTAATGCCTAAAACTTAGCTGCAAAAACGGGGTGAGGGGCTCACCGAGGACATGAGGGACCGGGCCAGTGAAACTTCAGGGTCCTCTCACAGTGTCTGAGGGAATCGCCTTGTTCTCTGCCCCTGTATCCTCTCCCTGCTTCCTCTTTTTGTTCCTTTCTTCCCCCCCTTTTTTTGAGACAGGGGTTCTCTGCATAGTTTTGGCTGTGCTGGGATTAAAGGCATGGACCCGACCTCTCTCTTTAAATTTTTAATTCTATCTGGAACAGTGTGGTGAGTTACACGCACTGTATAAATGCAGTGCCAGCAGAGGCCAGAAGAGGGCGGCAGATCCTGTGGAACTGATGAGCTACCATATGGGCCCTTGCAAATAAACTCAGGAGATTTGGGAATAAAAGGCCAACAGTTATGATAGATCTTTTTACCTGTGCTACCATATGGGCCCTTGCAAATAAACTCAGGTTCTTTGCAAGAGCACTTAAGAGCTCTTAACCACTGAGCCCTCTCTCCAGCTCTGTAACACAGGATGGCTTGGATTTTCTCTGTAGGCTAGTCTGGTGTTGACAGGTGTGCACCTGCATCCTGGGTGGTCCATATGGATCCAGATCTACAAGAGCTCAACAAGGGCTCCCCAATTTGAGCTGTATCCCTTCCCAGGTTTTTTTTTTTTTTTTTTTTTTTGAGAGAGGGTGTCACTGTGTACCCTGGCTATCCCAGATCCCACGGAAATCCCCTTCTCTTATCATCCACACTACATTGTTGATGCCAACTCAGAGTCAGAATTCATGCCAGTGTGAGAGGCCATTTATTGTTATTGTTCAGAGCCTGGGCTCCCACGTTAAAGAGCCCCTGCAGTGCTTCCTCCCCCCATAGCCCTCATGGACCCCTCAAGAGGCAGGTGGCTGAGCTGGTCGTGGAGGGTGCACATCCTCACATGCTTAAAGTCCAAAGTGGCCACCTTCTCCCTGCAATGACAGCTGGGGGTCAGCCCTGGGGAGGCGACAGTCAGCTGGGGGTCAGCCCTGGGGAGGCGACAGTCAGCTGGGGGTCAGCCCTGGGGAGGTGACAGTCAGCTGGGGGTCAGCCCTGGGGAGGTGACAGTCAGCTGGGGTCAGCCCTGGGGAGGTGACAGTCAGCTGGGGGTCAGCCCTGGGGAGGCGACAGTCAGCTGGGGTCAGCCCTGGGGAGGCGGGGTTGTTGAGGGGCAAGAGGAGAAGCCAGGCCCCATCTGGAGACCTCACCCTCCTCCCATGCCCTCTGCCTCCATCCTCACTCCTGCTTCATCTTGTCCGTCAGCAGTAGGTTCTTGACCTGCCCTCACTCCGGGCTCATCTTGTCCGTCAGCAGTAGGTTCTTGACCCGAACGGCTTCGTCTTGGGCCAGCCGAAGGGTGGAGCTCAGGGCCTCTGCCCTGACCTGTTTGGCCAAGGCCTGGCGCTCCAGCTCCTGGGGAGAGGACTGTAGGGCTTGCTGGACTGGGCTAGGAGTAAGGGCAGGCTGGGTCAGAGAAGGCAAGGGGCAGGGTTGCATGGAGCCCACATACCACCCAAAGTAACCTATCAGGCCTTGAGTTTGGGGATTCCCCCAGGAATCCCACAATTCACTGGCCTCCCCAACTGCACCTCGCAGGAGGCCTGTGAGTGTCCCCAATGCACTGGCCAGTGTCCCAGCAAGCTGAGTGACATCGGAAGTTCTGTGCTCCTATTGCCTATGAATTGCCTGTATTGCGTGGATCCCAGAATTGCATGGCGCCCTTCTACATCTCTTCATTCCAAGGCCCTGTATTTGTGATGTTCCCTAGCATTATAGTGTTCTGTATCCCACAATTCACCATGCCCTGTGTCTTTCTGTGTACTGGGGCTGCAGCTCACTACAATTCATATCCCATCATCCCTTAGGCTAGTATCCATCCCATCATGCACTAAGCTCTGTATCCCACAATGCACCAGGCCATGACTTCCCATGTGTTCCTACAGTTGCTCACTATAATGTATATCCCATCATCCCATAGACCAACATCACACAGTGCCTCTATGTCCCTCAAGTTCTAACAGCTATAGAGCTGTGACTTGGATAAATGGGTCCTTCAGTGTGACATCCAGGCTCCCTCTGAGTCCACTGACCTCCCTGAAGGACTACAGAAAATCGGGCCCATGTCCATGAGCTACAGCCCCATATGTCCCAGAAAAAGCCAGCCCCGGCACATTAATACACTTTGAGCCAGACCCTAGGGAGCAGAGTGACTGGGTTGTAACTCAGCAGCCACCAAACTCTTTGTCCTCCTGCCTGCAGAGAGGCAAGACCTGCTGCTCCCATACAGGCTTCCTGTTCCTGCCACAGCCAGCAGGACTCTTGAGCAGGGACTACCCACACCCTGCCAAACACAAAAGTAACTCGGGTCAGGGCAACCCATGGTCCCTGGTACCAGAATCTTCTTGTGTAGCCTCTGGCAGCTGGGGCAGGCAGGAGCCAGGCCTTTTTGCTTCACCTCATCCACCAGCGGGGTCAGCGCACGTTCCAGCAGCTGCTGCAGGGACTCCGTGGACAACTGCTGCCCCTGGCTGCGAAGGGACAGTCACCAGATGGATGAGTCCTGGGTTACGCTCCATCTGGTCATTTCTTTTTATTTATTTATTATTGTTTGCTTGCTTGCTTGTTGAGTCACGGTCTTTTGACATAGTCCTGGCTGTGGTGGGACTCACTCTGTAGACCAGGCTGGCCTTGTATTCACAGAGATCCCCCTGCCTCTGCCTCTTGAGTGCTGGAACTAAAGGCGTGTGCCACCAATGCCTGCCTCTCTACCTTACTTTTGAAGACAGAGACTCTGAACCTACAGCTCTTAGATTCAACTAGACTGGATGGTGCAGGGATCCTCCCGACTGTTTGCAAGACAGATATTTCCTGAGCTCTCTCTCCATGCCCCTAATGTTATGCTACAGATTACCCAGAACCCACTCTCCTGACATGCCAAACTTCCCACAATGCACCATGTCTCAAATGTCAATGCACTCAGTCTTTGCTTTCTACAAGTACCCAATTTTTTTTTTTTTTTTTTGAGACAGGGTTTCCTGTGTGGCTTTTGAGCCTGTCTTGGAACTAGCTCTGTAGACCAGGCTGGCCTCCAACTCACAGAGATCCACCTGCTTCTTCCAAGTGCTGGGATTAAAGGCATGTGCCACCAATGCCTGGCTAAGTAGCCAATTGCCAATTTTTCTATGTGGGAAGGGTAGAAAAGTTGTTCCCACATGCAACATAGCTCTCACTCTGCAATCCACAAACGCACATCTCTCACAATGACAATGTGCAATCCCATGTGTGACCCACAATGCAGACTTTACCTCTCTCCGTACCTGGCACAGCGGGCACAGGAGCCCTGGACAGACCGATCCAAGTTCGAGATGCGGTCACCACCCCTTCGAGTGTTCTGAAGTTGCCGTCCCAGCTCCTCCAGAATCGGTTTCACTGGGCCCAGGGCCTCCAGTTCACTCTTCAGTGAAGCCACAGACACTGCTGACCTCTCCACCCTGAGATGGGAGAGCAAGCGATATGGGTAGCTTGCAACATCCACTATCAGCCCGGAGCCGGAGAGTCTGCCTTTCAATGCTGTACTCTGCGCTGATGGGCTCTCCATATCCACCAGGGATAGGAGCCCGAGCTTCTGCAGGGCAAATGTCCTAATGCCGGACCACGCCCCCACTCCTTACTGGTGGATCACAAGCAGGGATTCTACCCCAAAGCCACACCCTTAATCCACAGCTGGGGGATTCTAGGCAGGGGCTCTACACTGGGCCACACCTCTTGGTATGGGTCATTTGCCCCAGCAGATAGTTCAGGCCTTTCTCCTCAAGGATCTACCCTCGGGTTGGCTCCAATTTCCCACGGACTCCGTGTCCCCTCCAGCACCAGCTGAGCCCTTACATAGTACACAGCTCATCTGCCCGTCCTCGCAGCTCTTGCAAGCCCCGTGCAGACTGTGCCTGTTCCCGCTGTGCCCACTCCCACTGGCCCAGGAAGCCATCCAGCCGGCCACCCAGCAACCTCAGGGCCTCCTGCAGTGTCCCCTCCTCCTGATGCCGCCGGGCTGCCAGGGAGGACACCTCCCTCCTGAGGAATGGGAAGCGGAAAAGGATGGATAAGGATTTGACCATGCATGCCACCAATGATCTTACCCCAAATACATCACCAAATTGTTTTCTTCTTTTTTTTTTAGACAGGGTTTCTCTGGCTGTTTTGGAACTTGTGTGCTGGATTAGTCCTGTATCACTGATGCCACCACCCAAATCCTCTTCTAGGTTCTGCTGTGGCACACACTCCCTTAGCTCCTCTAAGGCCCGCCCACCTCAGTCTCCAAGTCCCGCCCCTCAAGGTCTTCCAATCGTCCCTCACCTAAGGCCGCCCCTCGGAAACACTAACCCTCCCACCCTCACCCAACCCCGCCCACAAAGCCTCCACCCTCCGCGGAGGCCCCGCCCTTTGTTCCACCTGCGAGCTGGTCCACCCACCTCCTCCGGTCCCCGCCCACCTCAGCTCCTCCAGGCTGGTGGAGACCTTCTGCAACTCCTGCTCTGTCAGCGAGGGCCCCTCCGCTGCCCGGAGTGACATGCCCCAGCCACTGGAGGCCAGGCCTCGCGGCCGCGGGGACTCCTCGGGGCTGCCGGGTGGGCCGGAGCAGCCCTGATTGGGAACGACAGGGCTCAGGCCGTGCCGGGAGAGGCCGGCCTCCAGCTTTTGCTCCAGCTCCTGCAGCTCGGCCTCCTGCCTCCGCGGCGTCTCATCCTGCAGTTGCTGCTGGAGGTATCTTAGCTTCTCCTGGGCAGGGGAGGGCAATGAGTCAGGGCGTCCAGCCGTGTCACCCTCAGCCATCTGCACCCCAGGGATCCCGGGACTGCAAAGTGGTGTGGGAAGAGGAAACTGGGAAGGATGCTTGCAGTCTAACTGGCCTCATGGCTGTCATTAGGAAAGGAGATACCATTTTCTCTGAAACCGCTAGCTGTTTCTAAGGCTGCAATCCGCCTACCCCCTCCTCTCTTGCTCTGCCTGTCAAAAACCAGCCCCTGAATCTCAGGGACCACGACACGCTTTCTCAGTGTTTAGTTGGAAAGTAAGCTGGCACGTATTGACACTAGACCCTCTCCCACCCGGCACGCAGGGTCTTCGGGCTCCATGCTCCCAAACTCAGATTCCTCAGGCTCCACTCTGGTCCCTCCCTCTTCGCTCCTCCCATGGGTCCCTTCAGCCCGACCTCCAAGCTCCACAGTCAGATCCGACCCTCCTCAGCTCCTGGAGGCTGTGCAAGCTCTACACACTTGACCCTGCTCTCCCCAGTTGCTCCAACACCCATCCCTAGGCTCCACCCAAACTTCCCACTAGCTCGGGACCCCTCCACACCACACTCTCGTACCTCCAGCAAGGCAGAGTTCTGCTTCAGGACACTGGTTTTGATTTCAGCATCTTCCACCGAGCGCGCCACCTTGCGGCAGTTCTCCTGGGTCAGAACATCAGGGCGGAGGCCCTGCCTTCCCATTCCGGTTCTGCCCCCAACCAGCAGCCTCCTTATTTGCATAGCGCCAGCCCCAGGTAAGATGCACCTGCTTCCCAGCCAGGCTTCTTTTCCTAGCCAAACCTGTCCTGTCCTGTCCTTTTGGCCATCCCACTACGCCTGTGCTCCTTTTGTTTTACATTTAAAAGATTAAAAAAAAATATTTCTTATGAGCTGGGCAATGGCGGTGCACGCCTTTAATCCCAGCACTCAGGAGGCAGAGGCAGGTGAATCTCTGAGTTGGAGGTCAGCCTGGTCTACAGAGTGAGTTCCAGGACAGCCAGAGCTACATAGAGAAACCCTGTCTTCAAAACCCAAAAAGATAAAGAAAATATTATGTGTAAAGGTGTTTCATAAGCGTGCACGTATGTGCATGACATGCACGCTGTGCCCATGGAAGCCAGAAGAGAGTGATACTTTGTGAGGATTCAGGCGTTATGCTGGCCAGCCTGTCTCCTGGTAGAATGCTCCCGGGCAGGGTTCCGCGTCTACTATTCTGCATGCAGGTACAAAGGACCCTTTAAAAGACAGACCCCGCCCACCTAAGCTGTCTTTCCTACTCTTTTCCCTGTTTCTCTGCACGCTAGGCAAGCACTCTCCCAACTGAGCCCCATCCCCAGCCCTCATGCTCCTTGCCCTTCTAATCACTTTCTCTCCACAGCTTCCTCCCACAGGGGCTCACCTTCAACTGACTGCAGTACCCCTCCAACTCTTCTGCCTCCTGCCGCCTTCTTTCCAGGTTCTCACTCAGCACAGAGCACTCGCTCTTGATCATGGGAGGGAGGCGGAGTTACACAGAGGCAGTGGGAAAGCTTACCAGGGGGAGCAGGGTCTTATCCTCCTGGGGGCTGGGCATGCGCTATGGTGGAAGAAGGCTCCGAGGCGGGACCTTAGCTCTGGAGGAAGAGGCCACCCGAGGGGCACAGGGGCCTCGAGTGTCATACCTGCAGGGTCTGAACGTGCTGATTAACCCTCGTAGTCTTTTCCTTCAAGCTGGTGATGGAGTCTTTGGCACGCACCAACCCACTGTTGACCCCACTCTGGAAAAGAGTGAAGGACATGTATAGGTCAACACCGAGAACACCAGAGCTTCAGGCTGGTTTTCAGCTTGGCTTTGCTCTGAAGGCATGTGGCTTTGGACAAAAGGTGGCATCCTTGGATTTAGTTTCCTTGTTTAGTAAAGCCAAAGGTCCACTAGTGTTCTTCATGATGTTCTGGGGAAAGTAAGTAGGAAAGACAGTTTGAAACTTTGAAGCAAATGCCTAAAATCCCCAAGCTGGGGGGATGGGGTATAGCTACAGGTCAGAGTGGATTTGGGGTGAGCACATCTCGATTTGAGGCACCCACAGGGGGCAATGTCCTGGTGAGTCATCTTCCCGTCATAGTCGAGCTGTCAGATAAATACAGCACTAAGGACAGTGGCTGCATCTTCATCCCATCAGACCACCATAGTCTCAAGGAACAGCTGATGGCCCCTACATCTCTTGATCTAATGTGTACTGTTGTGAGATATTTGATTAAACCGTGAAAAGATATGCCACTGTGCTTGGTTTAATTAAAAAGCTAAATGGCCAATAGCTAAGCAGGAGGTATAGGCAGGACTTCCGGGCAGAGAGCTCTGAGATGAAGGAAGGTGGAGACGCCAGCCAGACACAGAGGAAGCAGGATATTCGGGAGGAGAGGTAAAAGCCATGGTTATGTGGCAGCTTGTAGATGAATAGAAATAGGTTAATTCAGGTTATAAGAGCTAGTTAGAAACAAACTAAGCTAAGGCTGAGCTTTCAAATTCCTAACAAGTCTTCATGTAACTATTTAGGGACTGGGTGTGTTAGAGAAAGACTTGATACATATGGTATCCAACCTGGAGTTTTGAATATCAGAGGCTGAGAAAGGTAAGTAAAGTTATGGGCAAGGAGCCACATGTGGCTTCCTAGTTCTACAGTTTCTCAGGAGGACCAGTGCTTGGCACACAGAGGCGCAGGGACTGCCTGATGCCCGTACCATGAGCCAGCACAATGCACCAGCACCATGTGCCAGCACCATGCACTAGCACCATGCACCAGCACCATGCACCAGCACTGTGTGCCAGCACCATGGGCTGTGGCTTACACAGCAGTTTAAGATTACTCTTGTGCCATAAGAAAACGCTGCAGTTGTTTAGTAAAGCCAGGTCCAGACACAGAAAACCTCTAAAAACGTACCGCATGCACAAAAATTGTGCTTAGATGCTGAAGAAAAAAATGGGTATAGATTGTCAAAAAATAGTTGAAAAATAATAGTAAAATAATAAGAGAATAAAGTCATATAGAAAGAATAAGCCACATAAGTTTGCGAAATGCACAGGGCATCTGGATCCTGTATGGTGCTTTGTTGACTGAATTTTTTGAATGCTGATGAGCAAATGGCAGCTGCTGGGAGACATTGTATTATTGAAGGATTGCTGAGTTAAAACAGCCTAAATACTTTAGAGATGTCTTGGCTCCAGAATGGAAGTCTAAAAATGAGTTGCATTGGGGGAGAGGTTGTGCATTTGTTTCTATTGGAAATGAAAGCCAAGGATTCCTTCAAAGTTAATCGGGATTAGATTTGACTGGTGGAGACCATAAAAAATCTGGGGTAGACCAGATGATCCATGCTATCAAAATGCTTCCTCAAAATTCTGCATCCAGCTGAGAGGATCCAGCCTCATACACTACTGCTGCCAGGACTTCAGATAAGCCCTGCACTTTCCTATCACACAGAGAATGAACAACAAATGATACAGTTAGCTCTCCCAGGAATTGACCATTATCTCAGTTTTCTTAGTGTTTCCTAGAGATGCCGTCACCCCAGACAACAGGAAGCAGTCTAGAGAACACGGAGCCCACTTTCCCAAGAGGTGGGTTGGATGGTTTTTGGTGATTTGCTGGGCTATGGATGTTTGTCATAGTTTGGAGGGTGTTGGTTACAAGTTAATATTGGCAATGGTCAGGAAAAAAGCTGAAGAAAGATTATATTCATGCATCTCATTCTTCAAAGAAAAATGGGGAATATAAGATAAAAAGGGCAGATTATTGAATCTAATTTCAAAATAAAAAACTACAGTAGGAGGAGGATGGAGGAAGTAGGAGGAGGGCGTGGGAGGAGGGGGAAAAGAGGGGAGAGAGGGAGGAGGGGGAGGTAGAGGGGGAGGGCGAACTGTGGGGGGAATGTAAAATGAAATCATAAAATAAAAAAATGGAAATAAGCAACCACTAGTGTTAAATGTTTTACTTGGTATACATTTTTATGTATTGATACAAATTTAAGGTTGTTTTGTTATATTGTTTATATGTTTTTACTCTTGATAAGGTATTGTACCTTGCAGCTCATTTAAAATGTAAAGTTTTAGTGCTTGAAGGTTATTAAGGTTAATAAAGAAATGCAGTCAAGTATTTAGTCGTATGTGACTATCAAAATTGTAGTCGTGTTACATATGTTTTCAAGACTAAACACATATATTTTAAATAGATACATGGTCTTCAAACACTTCAAACACCTACAGAATATGACATTATAATAATAACATTAGGTTTTCATGAGAATGAAACATGTCTACTCCTGGCAGCACCAATTTACTTCATAAGGGGTGATGGGCATTGAAGACCCTCCATATGGAGTTTGCTTTCACTGTGGCAAAGCAGCCATTTGGGCAAGAAACTGCCCTTCCTTTACTGCTGACAGTGTGCTGTCAAAACTAAACAGGAAGTGCAGAGGAAACAGCTTCCTAAACTACGGGCACGACAGACACATCTGGCTGCCTGGACAGTCACCCAAGTTTCCCTGCAGTGTTGGGGCAGCCATCTTTGGCCCACAGGCCCAGAATGTCTGACAGACCTTCCTGTGAAGCAGGAATTTTGAAGGACTGTCCCACCTTGTCTTGGCAAAGTTCAGCAGTCACTTTCTTTGTGTCCTGCTTGTCCAGTTTTGACAGCACACTGTCAGCAGGTGAGGCAAGGGCACGAGTCCATCGCAGCCTGCCTCAGTTTCCCTTCCCATGAAAGGGGACGAAGGGTAGACTGCTATGACAGAAGGGCTGGCCATGTGACCTGCTCCACAGCTACAGGCTAATTAGGGTCTAGATGGATACAACGAATGACCAATGCCAGCATGGAGGTGGAGACAGGAGAATCAGGAGTTCCAGGCCGCCCTCTGCTACACAGTGGGTTTGAGGGTTGTCGCTCAGTTGCAATGCTCACCTTGCATACACAGGGCCTGGGTTCCATCCCAGACTTGCACAAAGTAGGTGTGGTATTGCACACCTGTGCCTGCCTGCCTGCCTGTCTCTCTCAGTCTGGTCTCTGTCTCCACTATCTCTGTCCCTCTATCTCTCTGGGTCTCCCCACCCCCTGCAGCTCAAGGACTGGGCACCCTTAACCCCTCCCACCCCACCAGCTCAGAGAGGTGCTAAGTGCAGATCAGGATTCACTAGACCAGTATGATTAAGGTGGAGTTTATTTAGGGAAAGAACTTATAGGGCCCTGCATGGACCCCCGAGGCGCCTTGAGCAAGCATCAAGCTGTTGGCCAGAACTCCTTGCCCCAGGGCTGCTGTTGGTACTGTTCCTGACCCCGCCCCCCGTTGTCATTGGTGCTCTTCCTGACCCCGCCCCCCGTTGTCATTGGTGCTCTTCCTGACACCGCCCCCCGCCCCCGGAGTTGTCATTGGTGCTCTTCCTGACCCCGCCCCCCCATTGTCATTGGTGCTCTTCCTGACCCCGCCCCCCGTTGTCATTGGTGCTCTTCCTGACCCCGCCCCCCGTTGTCATTGGTGCTCTTCCTGACCCCGCCCCCACCCCTCCGGAGTTGTCATTGGTGCTCTTCCTGACCCCGCCCCCCCGGAGTTGTCATTGGTGCTCTTCCTGACCCCGCCCCCCAGTTGTCATTGGTGCTCTTCCTGACCCCGCCCCCCCTCCGGAGTTGTCATTGGTGCTCTTCCTGTTTTGCTAACACACACCTGGTGGGGAGGAGCTAAGCCTGAAAATCCTGTTATTTTCCACTGTGCTGTCAGTCAGTATTTAAGTCCATTTCATCCCCTCAATAAACAAGGCATTTGGAATTCTAACACTGCCGTTGAGCGAATGACCTGCTGTCTTGTCTCTTATTTCAATCTCTAGCCCTTTGCCCCATTCGTGGAACAGATTGTAGAGTTGGAGCTACAAGTGGACGTCCCACCGAGATCAGGAAGAAAGGACACCTAAGAGAGGCCGGCAGGCAAAGTAAGTGAATGAGGGTGTATTGAAGGATGGGTGCCAGTAACTCTAAGGAAATTTTCCGTGGGTAATTAGTGGCCCAGTTGAAAACACAGGGCAGTGTGATTAAAACAAGACAGCTAAAGAATTCATTGCCATATTAGAGAAACAGTCCCTGGTTTATGCACTCTGGAGGTTTCAACACCCCCGATTGATCTCCAAAAGGCTTATAAAGAAGAGAGGTCCGATAATTTCCCTATTCCCACCTTTTCCCTTTGGCTTCTAATTAAAGATGTGCTCCTGAGCAACAATTTCCCTTTAGTAGGAGTCTGCGCCCACAGGGATATGAGGACAGGATACAGAAATTCTCTTAATATAAGATTTGAGAAAAAGGCTCAGGGAATTGCAGCCCTGTTAGGCCCCACCTAGAAAGGTGTCTATGTAGATGCTAATGAAAGCTTTACAGGTCGGATTAGTAAAAACAGCCTCCTTTTCAGTATTTGGGACAGATGTTATATCCTAAAGAAATTAAGCTTCAAAAATTAGAAATTAGAAGGTCACTGTCTTACTTGGAAGGGTTGGCAATCTGCGCCTCCCACAGCTGGCTTCTAGAGCGGGTTGGTGGGAAATGGCCAAAGCCAGCATGGCCCAAGTGCCAAAGGAATCTGTATGATTCCATAGCCTTTAGCAGAGGAGTGGGTATTGCTGTGGCTCCAGAATGTAACACTCAGCTTCTTAGTCAGATGATGAAGGACATACAGGCCTTTTTCAACTGTTTGTGTTAAGTCATATCCTTGATAATCTTTGAAGAAGAGATGTGCTTCAGGCCAT